AGTCAGCATCTGGCTCAGCTAAGAAGGGGACCAGAGTCTAAGGTGCAAATGATTCCCATGTTCAATACACTACAGGACAGAAGAAGGAAAATAAGGAATTTTAATAATAATAATAATTAAAAAAAATCTCCATAAAAGAAAGGAGAAAGCTATCGGACATATCACTGTGTTTAAAACAAAAAAACAAACAAAAAAAACCCCCAACCCCCCAAAAAAGTGAATGCCAATTCCCCTACTGCTCACTGTGTCCTAACAGGGTTAGCCATTACCTTTGGACCTTGTATGTCTCAGCTTGGAATGTCAGCTGATTTTCTGGGTTGCAGCAATCTCTGCCAGGTTCCTCTGGTCTCCAGGAGAACCTCCCTCCTGCATCTCTGAGACACTGTTGTCCTCTTCCTGATCAGGCCGTTGCCTCCTCTTCTCATGCTATATCTTTCATCTGCTATACCTCTTGAACTATCCACTCCTGGCTTCCTTGCAGCCCGATGGTCCCTTGTGGTTCCCATGGAAAGCACCATCTTCCTCTCCTTCCAGAAGATGCCCCATGACCCCACCCATGTGTCGCACCTAAAACATGGAGTACCAGGGAGCCTTCCTGTTGAGCCATAGCCCATCCATAAAATGCAGTATATAACATATATGGTTCTGTGAATAGGCAAATAAAAGAAAAACCTTCCATCCTGCTAGAGATTGGCTTTCCAGAAAAAAAGGATAACTTTGAAAAAGGCAGGTACTGAAGTGCTGATGTAAAGGAAGCATCAACTGTTTGGATGTAGTTGCATGCTGACATATGATAGCCTGCTGAAGCCATATTTTTGGCAAATGCACAGGAGGCGGTGACTCCGTGAGCTGTTCAGTTGATGTAATAACTTGCTGCTGCTGAAATGAAGAAGTCCTGTTTCCACCTCATTCTCCCATCTCTGGTTTGTAGCTGTGTGGTCCTGCCCTCTTTCTCCTGGGCTTTCATGCCAACTCCTGGACTCCCTGGACCCTCTCATGAGCCACTTAGCTCACCAGAGCAGTAGAAAAATTCAAAACTATTTCTTTTCTGGCTTAATTTCTTCCTATGAGTTTGTGAGGTAGATCAACTCATGGAGGAATCAGTCAGTCCCTGTGCCAGGGCACGGTAAATGGTGGAGGATGCCTGTTAGAAGGAAGGAGGGAGAGAGCAGTGCTGCCCACCCATTTCCAGCAGAAAGTCAGCATCTGGCTCAGCTAAGAAGGGGACCAGAGTCTAAGGTGCAAATGATTCCCATGTTCAATACACTACAGGACAGAAGAAGGAAAATAAGGAATTTTAATAATAATAATAATTAAAAAAAAATCTCCATAAAAGAAAGGAGAAAGCTATCGGACATATCACTGTGTTTAAAACAAAAAAACAAACAAAAAAAACCCCCAACCCCCCAAAAAAAAACAAACCAAAAAAAAATCCAAAACAAAACCAAAAAAACCCCACCAAACCAAAATCAAACAACAAAAAAAAACCCTGCTACATAATCAAGAATAGATGCTAATAACAAATAAACATAGATGATAAAGTTCTAAGACTAGTATGCACATTTATCACAGCAAGATTCCCCAACAGACTGCCTGAAGGGTATATTATTTTCTCTGGACATCTTGGCAACCCTTAAATTAATTTTGCTAACAAGTTGCACTGAATTAAATAATTTAGAATGATCATCTATGAGCATTGTTCTATGGTTAGCAGTCCTGCACAGAAGAAATGGAAAGCTAGCAGTAAGTGGCTAGGTGCATGGCATGATGTCGATTAATATTCAGAACATCCCTGTCTTCAGGTTTCTGGAGTCAGTATTATTCTGTAATTGAGAATTGTGTATTAATACATATACCTTATATAATATGAACAAATAAACACTTGAATAATTTTTTTCTTAAAAATTAGGTCTGTATGATGTAGGGTTTATCACTGGCAAAGACAACATTCAAAATATTTCATAATACCAGTTTTATAATAACACTGATGCATTTAGTAGTGCCCTAACAACATCCATTGCCAAGCATGAATATAGGTGCTGAATACCTGGGAAAAAAATTCTGACATCTGCTCATCACAATGTACTCATTTAAAGTGTGTCTATATTCAAAGATACTATTATGTAAACAGAGCAAACTAAGCCCAGCTCGGTTCTGGATGTGATTCAGTGTGCTGTGAATGATTGCCAAGGCAGACTATACCGCCCATCCCAATTTCAACCTGCCCTAATTCCCTTTATGAGTTTATTATTTAGTGCTGGTTTAGTGCTCAGAGAGACCCAAACAGGAAGCGTCTGGGCGTTCTCTGTTCATGAAGTGGGTGGGATGGAGTTCTTTAGAGAAAACAAAATATGATCCACCTACAGATCGTGTTAGGCCAGCTCCCCAATTTCCTCTAAGTAGAACAGAGGCTTTTGTTGCCTTAGTTACTGGAATGATCTACTAGTCAACAGCAGAATCCCAGTCTCCAGACAGAACATCCTTCTGCATTTTTGATGGCAGCATAGGATGGGAAATATCTACTGTAAAACGAAAAAAAAAAATAGTAGGTTATTTAACTCTGCAGAAAATAAAATAATAATAAAAAAAAATCAACTCTTGCAAAAAAAAAAAAAAAATCTGCAAGGTCACTGAATGGAGGGAGCATTGTCTGGTAGAGGGTTAGAGCTTCCGCTAAAGCAACATTCCTGGGTGCTTTATTTTCTATTCCTTTCTTAAAAAAGAAAAGAGCGAGCACTGGAAACTGCATGCTAAGTTTCAAGGCTTAAATAGACAACAGCAGCTACATTTGTAGAACCAGATTACTGAAGTTTGTCTAAAACTTATAGACACTCCAGGTAAGATTTAAAATTGTTCTTCTCCTCACTAGAGGTGTAGCTATTGTAGTGCTATCATCTGTTCCTTGGACATAAAAGCTGGAAAATACAACCCATCTGTTTCCCCTGTAAGGCATAATCAAGTCCAAATTCTTTCCTTTAGTTCTGAAAACAAGAATTTCAGTATGGTGATACTTCGGTGATAATTTATATTGAAATGGGGGTCCAAAATAATAATTTTTTAAGAAATTATAGAGTCCCAAGAACCCGATGGATTTTCTTCTTTACCAGAATGGTGTGATATGAGGTAGTGGTTCCATGGTACCTGAAACGTATCTCACCTTGTGTGGCCCTGGGCTCCCTTGCCCTGCTAATTGTTCTTCTCACCCCAGAGCAGTCCCCAGATACTGTTCACTGATAACATTTTTTTTTTTTGTGGAATTAAGTTTTGGTCATTTTAACTCTGCAAGCTGATAGTGGAGCAAGATGAACACCAGCACCAGAGCAGTGAAGGGCTCAAGGTGGCTTGCTGGGACAGTGTGGCTGAGGTTAGGGCGAGTTCAAGGAGCTTGAATGCGAGAGTAACGCCATAGAAATTCTTAGGCTAATCTAAATGAAAAAGGAAACATTTTCTACTCTATGTCATTGCCTGCAATGAAGATCTAGTCCGAATGCTGTTGATTTGTGTGATTATGAGTAAATTCAAAATTTTCATTTAGATTAATTCACATTTTAGAAGTTAATAACTAGAGTTCTATAAGAACCGCAGATTACCATAAATTGGCATTGAAGTTGAGAACACGAGGATGTAATTTTAAAGCATTTTAATAAGTTTATTAATTTTTACTTATATCGTAGTACTAGTATAAACTATACATATTAAGAGAGTGCCCGAATCTATTTCAGCATTAACACCTTTTTAAAATATTTGTGCTTTGTTCAGCTTAAAGTAAAATATTTTTATTGGTACTTCCAGTAATTTTCTGACATTCATGCACTACAGTATTGTTACATTATTCAAACTGCAGAATATTGTTTAAATCTACCCCCCCACTGTTGTTTAAATGGCAACATATTTAATACAAACATCACAAATGTCCATTACTTCAATTATTTTAATGTCAATTTCTACATATGGTTCTTTTTCTAAACAGAAATTTCAGCTGAAATTACCTGTCATAGGTCCTTTCCAAGACTAAGGGCTGATTCGAAGTAGAAAGTTTTTCTTAATCTAATGACTGGCAGGGTTTAAATTGTGGCAAAATCCTTTACAGCAGGATTTACAGTCCATTTCTTCTGCAAATTCGGTAAGTAGAACTGAATGTTTGAGATGAAGGGGTTGTTGGGACATTGTGTTATTTTATTTCTGGCTAATCTATTTTATCACAAAGCTTATTATTTGTACCAACACCAAACATATCAAGTGTGATTGACAAACATTTGACAGGGAAATGCATGCTCCTGAGCTTCAGACTGAAGGCCTGAACATACAAAGCCTGTCTTTATTCCGATTTCTATAAAGTCATTTTCTACAAGGATCTAGCAGGTATTTATTTTCACTGTTTCTGTATATTTCCCTGGTTTTCCCTCCTAAATGAAAGCCTAATAGATGGCTTCTAGAGGCTACCTTCAACATAGTCATGTTAATTGGATCTATATAAAATTGAGCAGTGATAAACACTTTTGAAAGCTAAAAAATAAAAACTTTTAATGGGAAGAGTGCTGGACTGACCAAAGGAGCCAACAAGTGCTAGTTCCACTTTTTTCTCAAAACCCTTAACATTTTAATTTTATACAGTTCTGCATTTTATGCAAAAGTCACAACCTGAGCAGTATTTTTTTTTTTTTGTAGAAACCTATCTGAAGCTGAAAAAGGATAGCTTGAGCTCTGCTGTTCAGGGATTTTTCAGGGTGAGAAGGGAACTGGGACACGCAGCGGGTAGGTGTGCGAGGGCTTTCTCTTGACTCCCAGAAGTGGGCTATGCATGTCATGACACATTAAAAAAAAAAACAAACAAAAAACCCCCCCAAAACCCCAAACCTCTAAAGTGGCACCATTCAAAGAGAAATAAGAAATTCGAAAAAATAAATAAGAAGAGAAATAAGAAATTCGAGGCTTTCCCAAAAGCAGCCTTCAAGCTCCCCAGCGCCGCGGGGAAACGAGATAAGGCCTCCAGCCGCGCCATGGGCAACGAGACGGGCGGCCCGCGGGCGACCACGCCAGGGCAGCAGCTCCGCGCTCTCTTCTACGTGCTGCCGCCCGGAGAGAGCTCCTTCCGCACGGTGGAGGAGGTGCCCGACTACGTGGAGAAGGTGAGAGCCCCCTCCCCTGGCCTCCCCTCCGCCGGCAGCATCCTTCGCCGTCTCCTCCGCCCACCTTGCGCGCAGCTGCCGCCTGCCTTTTTTCAAAAGCCATAGGCGGCCCAAGGAAACAATGTCCGCGAAAGGGCATCTAAATTAAGATTAAATACCTTGTCTTTCTCTGTCTGCTTTCACTCCTGGGCTCTCTGTTCTGCAGGCTGCCTGTGTAACAAACTGCCTATGTAACCGTGCACTCTATTTTAATGTATTTTACATGAAGGCTCAGATGCTTTCCCCAGATAGCAGGAGCTAAAGTTTTCAGAGAAGCACCCCAAATATCTGAGGGTTGATGCTAACATGGTCAGTGCTGCTGGATATAATGACAGCAAAGTGAACTGAATAAACCAGTGAAACCTGATACTGTGTTTGGCTATTACGGTTCTTAAAACAAGCACAAAGTCAGGTCTTTTTGTGCCCTTAAGGCGAGTACTACAAGTTGAGTCAAAGAAAGAAAAATAATAATTTCTATTTAAAATAAAAAATAGAGATTGTTTAAGAGAATGAGAACAAATATTTGTGTTGGGACAGTGCTGTCTCCTAAAGCTCCAAGGCGAGAGTACAGAGGTCAGGGGTGAGAACTCCCATGTCAGCAGGCAGCAGCATATCCCTCCCTCCCCTCTGCCCTGCCAGCTTATCCACTTCCATGAAGGTACCTTTGCTCCCTTCTGTCCTGCCTATCACAC